GAGAGAGAGAGAGAGAGAGAGAGAGAGAGAGAGAGAGAGAGAGAGAGAGAGAGAGAGAGAGAAAGAAACCTCCCACCGTCATTTATTTTTTCTTTCCCAGCGCTGCGTGCTAATTATATAAAGTCATTATGCTCAGGTCTGATAGGATCCGCCCCTCCCCTCTTGGAATCAATTATTCAATGACACACCGGGACAGCCCGGGCCTGAGGTGTTTTACAATGAGCTTATTCAACTCCAAGGACACCAATTATCTCCGGGCCGCCCTGTAGTCACAGCACAGCAGATGCGCAGCACGCCTGCACAGGCGCTCGCACGTTGTTATTTTCCTAGTAATGTTTTTTTTTTTAAGTATTAATAGATAAACTAAGGCTGTAGGAATATGCAGGTCAACGCCGCTGCAGAATACAATAAAAGCCACAAGTTATAATCTCTTCACTGTAGGTGAATCTATCAGTGACAGAAATAAACAAACACTGCAACACTTAGCATTCATTGTACTGTATATATGAAACTTGTACTTTAATGAAGAGTTAGAGGAGATGCCCTCATGTCATATTAAATACATGTAAACAATTGCCTATATGCCACGGACATCCGGTCCAGCACTTTATGCCACTCCCAACACTTCCGGTTCACGGTCAACACAGTGTTAGCGAAAGATTTTTTCACCCGACAACGACTCTTAATGATCTCCACAGTACAGAATTAGCATATTACATGTACCAACATTAACACAGGAGACGTACAGGTCCAGCCAAGGGGAAAAAGAATCACTCCAAAGTGGATTAAAGCCATAAAAACAAAGGAAAGACATTTGTGTTTATGGTTCCAGAATTTAGCCTTTTTTGCTATTCTGTGGCTGCTTGTTCTGTGAATTTTTCACGTAGAACTGTGACACTTATATAGTTGGAAAGAGCAGAGTCTGGGCTTTAAATCGATGGGCTACTTGTATGATTTGGATTGTTTTCCCCGACGTTAGTGATTTGAAAACGTAATGATTATCAGGCGGAGGTTCTGCTGCTCTCGGTGTTCGTGGGGAGGAAGGGCTCGTCACTCGGCTTTAGTCTACACTGTAATATACACTCTAACAAGATTTTACTTTTGCATAAAACTCATGACAAAGTCGCATAAAAACATTTCATATAACACAAACGCGTGCACGCACACACACCTACTTTTGTACCGGCTGCTGTGTTAGCTTCCTGCTAGCTGTCGTGTGGAGGTGGTCTTTCCTCTCGGTCTTGGCAGTAAAAGGGGATAAATGTACATTTCCTTTTTGTAACCTTCGTCTTCTCATTTCTGATGCTGGCTCTTGAATATCCTCAGGTTAGAAATGCTGATTACAAACACAAGCGTGAGCTTTTAAAGATAAGTTTTCCCTGTAAAGCTATGATCCACAGCTGTCACCTCCTCATTAAGAGGAAAATGGATAAAAACTAACTACTTTATCATATCTGCTGCTTAGTGGACACAACGACACACAACAGAACTCACGTTTTATACCAGTAGATCACAGATGCTTTAACTTTTGTGACTTTTTCACGGACTAGTACTAGGAGCTAACGGTATAAACATAGGCAGTAAGCAGGGAGTGGAAGGGAGGAGCGTGGCAAGAATTTTACCGGAAATACGTCATTAAAGACCGTGGCATATAGGCTAATGTAAAAAAAAAAAGGGTTACTGTGGAAAGGTTCTGAACAATAACAACAACAACCTTTTGTAGAAAGTTCTTTGGAAGACATTAGTTTGAAGAAAAGGGGCCTGTGTTAGGGTTTGTTTTATGAGTTCTGAATTAACACCGAACACCAAGGAAGTTTTAACAGATTTATTGTAAAACTGAATGTTAGCTGGAAACGGGAAACAAGCAGTCAGCAGGTCTCGGTTCTCTGGACACAGGAGAGTGGAATTAGTGTCAGCAGTGATACTAGGAATTTGACAGATTATAAATACTGCCACTAACCTGGAGGTTCGGAGAGTGCAGCGGGAAATCCGATTGGTCTGACGTTGCGGAGTCCCGATTACGTCACTGGGGAATCCCGGAAGAGATTTCCGTGTTTCGTTAGCCGTGGTTGAACAAGCTAACTCCTTAGCTTGCAGCCTTGAGGGATCAAACTTAACTCGTTGGTCATTAAACAGTGCAGGGGTCGAATACCTGGGAGACGTGGAGCAGGGTTGTCCAGAGAGGCAAGCAGGGGTCGAGAACCAGGAAGTCCGAGAGTTCGTAGTGCCGAGAATGGAGGAGGCGAGAGGCAGGAGTCCGAGAAACAAAGCGAGGATCATTACCAGAGGAGCAGATGACTGAAGGTTTCCGACATGGGCTGAGGCGAGAGGCGATAATCCGTGGGACAAGGCGAGGGTCGAGGAGCCGAGATCAGAACAAGACAAGGGACAAGAATGCTGGTGAATCATAGGCGAGGCTGATGATAAACTGGCACTGGAGCTGTGGGAGAGTGAGGCTTAAATACACAGGACAACAGGTGAGTCGAATCAGATGATTAGCAGAGGAACTGTGAGGGGAGGGGGAAGCAGGGCTGTGACAGGAGCTGCTGAAAACATGACATGAGCTAAAACTGTAAACAAAACGAGACTAGATCCAGAAACTATGACAGCCTGATCTACTAACATCCCAAATAATAAGCACTAAATAGCACACGCAAACATAAAAATTGCATGTGGTATTAGTGAGAATGTTGCAAGCGATCTACTAAGATTGCACAAATGATAATGGTTGCAAAAAAGGTGCGGACCACCCTATTAAAATGAGGATGATTGTGCTACTGGCTGTCACCATAGAGAGTTTGGGAGAGCACAGTGTCTGGATAAGTAAAACGATGTTCAAACATGGAGTTGGAGGTCTTGGAGGAGGCAATTGATCTAGATGCAAGAAAAATCACTTTGTGGGCGCTAAACGGTTACATTTGCATGACCTCCTCTTGTTTTATAGGCTACATATTCATAAAGGTGAACACAATGGATTGTGCCTGCTATTTTGCTCATTGGACAGGTTCAATCCTCTGAGCACACAGTTAAGCTCTCTTGGACCATTCTAACATACAAAATCCACCTCAGGTGTAGTCGTGTGATGAAAATCACATAAGTTCTTTCTCAGCCTTGTGTCACCCTCCCCTCCTTGGTACAAGCCTCCAGGTGAACTTTTCACCCATCTCGCCATACAAAAGTGTTGTGTGATTGATCAGAAGTTTGTGGGCGTGCATCCAAACAACATGGATAGTTCTGAGGAGCAGCTTTCCAATGCAGTTAAAGTATGTCGATCTATATGACTCTTCCAAATACTTCCAAAAAAGATAGTCAAATGGGCAAAAACTCATGGATGGAGAGAGCACAAACCACGGAATCCATCTGCCAAAAAGCGTGATGCAGTGTTTGATTTGTGGCCAACCGTGACATGCAGTGGAATGGTGTCTCCAGCAGGAAGAAACCAAAGCTGACGTGTGCAGCAGCAGGACTCTCTGCTGGATCCAGGTGTGTTTGAAAATGAACATAAAGCATCGAGCAACTACATGACTGCACACTGTTCAGCACGTGCTGGGTCCTTCACTGGCTATCAAGTTTGCATGTTTTTATACACACAAACCTTTAGTAGATCAGGCCCAAAGAGTTTAATTCTGACCAGACTGATGAGCTAATGGCAGGTCTGGTTGAAGTGGGTCAAAGACCAAAGTGGATTGCTGCTGTCTGTTTGTGTTTCCTTGATAACTTATAAACTTTGGCATACGTTTCCCATTACGTGGTAATTTTGGCAGAAATATTGTGACACTCCAGCCAGAACTTACATCAGAAGTGCCACAGCTCACTGACCCCACTTTAACACTTGCAAATAATACATTTTAATCATTTTTTGAGACTAAAGTTACTTTTATACTACAGTAATATATTTTTCTCTTGGCCTTGCTTGAACTAGCCATTAGCTCATCAGTCCAGTCAGAATAAATCTTTATTACTCTTAACTGAGGCCATTCAAAGAGCTCTCTGTACAACAGGTAAGATACTGTTTATAACCTTTCCATAGAAGCCTGCTTCATCTGAACTATGTTGCTTTAATGCTGATATGCAAGTTAACATTCAGGTTTAACAGGGGATGAAAGCCAATTTTAGTAGTAACATTCCTTTACAGCGCTTTTAACACAAGAAGATCATTATCTAATCAAAGGTAAAATTCTTGGATGAAAAAATTTGTGTAGACCATTTTACTGTACATGTTGGCCAATTTTAATGAAACTCCAAGACAGTATTTATGGGATATACATCTACACCTGATTAACCTTTGGAGCCAATGGCCACCACAGCTAATTAACATTAATAGTTGTGAAAATGTCTGAAACTGCCATTTTTGTAGATATTTACTGTAGTAGTAGCTGAGAGTCATCCCTTTGTTTGAACTTTTGACAAGCAGCAGAGATACAGATGAAGTATTTTAGGAATTCCTTCGTTAATAACTAAAAGTATCACTTCTTAAACAGCTAAACATGATGTCTGATCTGTCCGAGTTTGTGTTGGGAGTGACTCTCCGCTACTACCACACCAAATTTTACTTATATTTTATCTATAAAATTGTCTGTAAGACCAGTTTTTTGAGTTTGCTGTGGTTGATGAGCTGTGGGAGCCAGCCTGAACTGGATTAACTCCAAACATAAATCAGCTGCAGCTGTACCTCTAATGATTACTTTCTGAGAGTTTCATTAAAACATGTCCTGCGGTTGATGAGGTCATTTGCTAACAGACAAACAGAGGCACAAACACAGACAGTACATGATCGCCCTCCTTTTATGGAGGAGGGTGGAGTCGTCACACCACCTTGAAGTGCAGAATCTTCTTTTTAAAAAGTACTTACCTGTAGTAAGGGAAATACATGGTTAAGTTTGATCATACGTCTGAAAAAGCACATCAAGTCTGGCTGTGAAAACACAAAATAACGGGAAGTGATTATTTTTATTGATTGTTTTTTCACAGTCAATCATGTCAGTGTGGGCGTATTCTTGAGAGAGCATGATAAAACCATGAATAAATCTAGATCTAGCCTGCACGTTCAATCCAAAATCTATAGGTCACTTTACTAAGAATTTATTAATAATAAAAAAAATGATCACAAGGCTTGGTCAGAGAACAGTTAAGTTCACATTGAACAGCGCAGACGTGTTATTAGTTCCTGTTGATAGATTGTCGGGACATTACAGTCATTTTTCAGAGCTTTTTTTTTTTTTTCCAAAACCAGAACTCACCGCAATCCATAAACAACGCTGCCTGCTTCCTAATAGATCATCCGGCCCTAAATCCTCCTCATTAGGCGCTGTGGCATAAACAACTGTTCTAACATGGCCCCTGGATCAGGTCACACTAATTAACCAGCACCATCGACCGACTATTCCTCATTATCCGCCCTCTCATCTGATAGTGTACAGGCCGTCAAGACAGCTAACGATCAACAGACTAATTAATCAGCCATGAGGTGCAAGTGAAGCCCTGGGTTCCTTCTTCATTTGCGAGGCACATGGGAGCTAATTAGTTCAATTATTAATGCATCTAATTAAATATTTTCTATGGGTAATCGTGGCTGCAGTCTTGTCTTCCACCGCTTGTGGGAATAAATAGATCTGTGGTACTTTTGAGCCCTTTTTTGTCCTTTATTATGACACTGTAGCTCCAACGCAACGACCAGGACTTCACATTACAAACTATTCATGGGCCCGGATCCCATTAGACTAATTGCACTAAAAGCAGTCTGCGGATGACAGTAAAGGTGAGCTGCGGTTAGGGCTCTAATTAGCAGTCTGTGGAAATCGGAAGCCTCTTTTGCCATCTGCCGCAGCTTGCCGTCGTGTCGCCTGTGTGAAAAGGGCAGAGACAAATTTAGGCATGTTTTTGCAAAAGGGCCTTTTTTGTCAGATTTAATGCCAAGAGAGGCTAGCTCACTTGGAGCACATTTCAAAGAGTAACCGCTGAGTTTAGAGGACAGAATACCAGAAAACGCAGCAAATTGTAGCACGCCACAGTTCTGCTTTAATCATAGCCTGCATTTTTTTTTTTTTTTTTTGCATTTTAAACTTGAAGAGGAATCAAGTCCTCTAAACTCTGAGCTTGCAATTCCCAGTGTTGTTAAAGGGTTTGACTGCTGCTGATATTTTTAAACAAGAGTGAGCAGAAAACCAAGGAAAACCAAAAACTGATTTACAAGATAATTGTGGGTACTGGAGCAACAATCTTACCTAATTCCATTTTAGTTGGTGTTTTGCTTTCAGCTGTGTTTATTCAACCCTTTGCTTGGGTCTTGTTGTAAGAACATGAGGTTGAATAAATGGTCACAGTGGCAATAAATGCCAAAATCTAAAAACAATTTAAAAAAGAAATGAGCAATGTAATAAAAAAATGTATCCATCCATCCATTATCTGTATCAGATATTCTTTGAATAAGTTTATTCCAATAATCAGTCTGTGAAGAACTGAAGTCACATTTAAGGGTTTGTGACTCCGTTAAAAAAACAATACTATGTATGAATTAAAAAGGCTTACAATAACTGTACAATAGAGAACCCCCTACAATTTAGCCAACCTTCCTGGATCTCTTTAGGAGTGTAGAGACACTAAAACAAAACAGTGTTTAATAATGTATTCAAGAAAAACAGAAACAGGAAGAACATGTCTTTTTTGCCCCTCCTTCCTGGTGAAAAGTGCTCCCCAGGAGAAAACCAATGGCTGTTTGAATTTCACCTTGATTAAACCAAAACCACCTGGGAAAAATCTCCCAAAGCACATGGGGTTTTATTTCCAGTAAAGCTTTAATTATTTTTGTCAGACATATCCTAATGCTTGCCAAGAATACAGTGTATTAATTGAAACCCTTATTGTGTCTCCAAGGATGATGTTGCCTCTAATCAGCCAGAATGTAGATGGATGGTCTTTGCGGGGTCTTGGCGACATCTTCAGGTGTGTATTAAGAACACAACATTGTGTATTTGTGATAGGTCTGTGGTGTACAAAACATTTGTAGTGGAGATGTGGTGATGATGGCAGTGAACTGGGGTCCTGGGTGAGGGGAGTATGATATTCAGAGACATGGGGCTAACACAGCTTAGGTGCTGAGAATATGAAGCAGAGCTAACCAAGTTGTGACATTAAACAACATAGTATAGACATGATATTGTAGTATTGTGCTAGTGTGTGTGTTACTGCATCCTGAAATGTGGCAGCAGTCTGATGAGGGCGCCAGAGAGCATTTCAGAGACATGGAAAAACATTTTAAAAAATCAACTGCATTAATCAGGTACTGAGAGAGTGGCAATGTCAAGCTTGTCTTCACACTGAAAGAGGTTTTCTGAATTTGCTGCAATCCAGTCACTCTCTACATGGTCACGTAGGTCACAAGGAACCTAATAGGGTTACCATGAACAGGGCTAAGGAGAGAAATCTTAGGATCTTTCAGAAGATGCCCCATCCCTTTACTGACACGTGTTCCAATCAACTCATATCAGGTTGTCCTTAAAGGAGCGCCTAAAATACACGGCTTAACTGAGAATGACTCTGACACAGATAAAAAAAAAGGGTAAGAGATTTTATTTACATTGGTAAGTGCTTTCTGGAGGAATCTGTAAT